CTTGTTGTGATTTGTGTCTTCTATTAAAAAGCACAAGTTGCTTTTGTTCATTACTTTTGCATCAAACACCGAGGTGCTTATTGACCAGTTGTCTTCGTCTGAGTCAAACACAACACTCCCAATCTTTATTTTTGTCAACTTCTCAAGACTGTCTTTCTCTTCAAGTGTGATGTGTTCGCGTTTCATTTTTTCTTGTTCTTCTTCTTTATGTTTTTGCTGTTCATCTTCGTGTTGTCTTTTAGAAGTGATGAATTTCTCTGATTTAATTATTTGATCAACTGCTTTGTTTTTTGTTTGGACAATTTTGTTGATTTGGTCTTCATGTGGTTTTGTGTCGATTTTACATTTTTCTTCAAGAAGTGAAATTCTGAGATTGAATATCTCATACAACTGCTCGTTGTCATTACGCGTTGAATAAGCAGCCATTTCGCTTTTGATTTTGTTTGAAGTGTTATCCAAAGTAGTGACAATTGTGTTGCGTGTAGTTGTGATGTTCTTTTTTCTTTTGATGACCTCATCTAGTTTGTCAAAGTATCCATCCACATTCTCAATGTGTTGTGCAATATCAAGTGACTTGTTGTCAACAAAGTTGTATTCTAATTTTGGCACATAGAGGTTTGACATTGTTTTTTCTGTGTTTATGCATAGTGTTGAGAGTGCTGTTAACTCGTTTTCCATCGTTTATTAATAACAAGTTTTATTTAAAAAATATTAAAAAATATAATACAAATAAGTAAAGATGTTTTTAAAATAAAAAAAATGGAAATAATCGAGGTCTTACTGTACTTGTTTTTGTACGAGAAGTAAATTGTCAAAAAATTAATGTAAAAATTTTAGAATTTTTATCAATCAAATTAATTTTCTAATAATTAACAAAATCAGCTTTTTTAAATAACAGATTACATGGCTTTAAAACATATGTTCGATTGTATGTTCTTTAAGTTGGTAATTGTTATACTTAAAACAATTTTTGTAAATTTAAACTTATGTTATGTGTTTATATGATTGAATAAATAAAACTTATTTTAAGGTTGACGTAAAATTATTTTAGCATGAAATTTTCCATTTTGGTACAAAAATATAAATTTTACCTCGGTGGATCTTTTAGATCCAGTCGTTTTTTCTGCACCTTTTTTCTGGTAATACATTTTTGGTTTTTAATTTAGTCTATAGACTAATAATAAAATCAAAAATTCTTTTTGTCATTTAATGTTTTTTGAAAAGCAAAAAAGATTGTTGTGTATAATTTTTAATTTTTGTAACAAACAACAATAAATATGTAAAATACAAATTAGTTTTTATATAATCACCAGACAAACAAAAAATCAACGTAAAGCCAAATTACACAATCTTTAATTTGTATATATCATATAATCATATGATAAAGTGAGTTTTTAAAAACTTAAAGTTCTTGTTTTTAAATTATTTTGTATGTATTAACGTCGTTGTCTATCAACTTTTTATCATTTTTTGTTGAATTTGCAACTAAGAGATTATTAAGAGTTGGAAATATTATCATTTCTTTTTGATATTGATGGATTTTATTTTTTTATCCAGTTATCTTGTTGAAATATTTTTTGATGTGTAATCAATCAAATCAATTACTTATTTGTTGTTTAAAAAATACACAATTTAATAAAACAATATCAGAGCACATAATATCATATATTACATCATTAACAATTATTACAACATTATATTTTCAATAAAATTAACAAGTTTTTGAATTATTTATAAAAATGCTTATGATTTAATCTGAACAAATTACAAATGAATCCGACAACATATCATTAATATATCATTTTTTCATAAACAACCACCAAACGCTTTAGACAATATAAATTACTCATTAAAATGACCTGTTGTTTGTTTTATATAAATGGCCATTTATTAAAATGTTTGTGAATAATGATGATTTTTTTTAATAAGATAATTAATATAAAAATGCCGATTTTTTTCTTTGTTCTTCAAAAGACATCAAGGTCTTTAAGTTTTATAAATAAACTTTATTACGAACTTATTATTTTTATTTTTTAGTATTTTTTGGTAAATAGGTAAAATTTTATATTTTATACCGGAATAGGTAAAATAAATTTTACTTTTTTTTTCTTCAACTTTATAACTTATTGTTTAATATTTTTTTGATTTAAAAGATGTATTAAAACACTCAAATTTAATTGTTTTTATTCATATTCAAATCAAAAAAATACTTAATTAAATTCATGATAATTATTAATTAATAACTGGACTCAATAGTTTTATCAAAAATAACATAAAAAATAAATTATTACTAACAGTATTAATTAAGCATTTCTTGTAATTGCTCTACCACATTTTCTATGTTCGCTCTTTGTAAGGAATCTTGTTTCCAACATTGTTGAATTAAATTGTATTGATCATCTGACATGTTTTCTTTTTTCTCAAGCCTTTTCCCAGAAGTAACCATTTCTGCTATGTTCCAAGGAAATTTGAACATCTCTTTGGGGTAAGCCTCGCACCATCCGAATACCTCAAACATTGTTATTGCAAAAGAGTATATATCCGCACATTCTCTGTAGTTTTCTTGTTGTAAAATTTCAGGCGCCATGTAAATGGGTGTACCAATACCTTTTGTAAAAGTCATGTTAGTCATTATTAAATTGACGTTTCTTGCACTCCCAAAGTCAGTCAATTTTGCATTGATAACATCAGTACAACTCAGATCTAATGAAAAGACTAAGATGTTGTCTGGCTTGATGTCTCCGTGTAATATCCCATTTTTATGTAAATAACAAATACCTTTTGCCGCATCTAACATCATTTTGATGCGGATTTTTATAACAACTTCTTCACTCTTCTTTTGTTTCATTGGATCCTGCAAAGACCCAAATGGCGCATATTCGGTGACCATACACACTTTTGTTGTGATGAACACAGCCCCATAGAAATGGACGATATACTCACACCTGAACTTATCTAACATCGACACTTCATTTTCAAACTCATTTGTGTCATCATCTAAAACAACCCGTTGTTTCAGTTTTTTAATGGCAACTCGATTGCCTCTGAATGTGCCTTTAGACACGATACCAAAGGATCCTCCCCGAGTTTCTTCTCTTCAATGATTTCGTCTGGATCAATTCGAGTTGATTGTGCTGTTACCCCACTCATTCGTATTTCATCAAAACTCTCTTTGCCACTTTGAAGTGATTTGGAAATGATGAGAATTGTTGTGTCGATTTTAGATGTGCAAAATGGTGTTATAATCAGTGTAAATTCACATGCAAACCCTTTCTTTAATACAACTATTTCAGGCTCCGTTCTTATTGCAAATTTGGTTTGATCACTTTTAAGAGAGAATTGGATTTTCAATGTGCGTTCTTTTGTATTTCCAACACAGAACAAGATTTTTTCTTCTGTGTTGATTGGAAGTTCTTCTATTTCGGAATTCAAGTTGATTTCACTTGGACTCACACAAACGCCATTTGAAACAACTTTGAATTGGACGTTTGATCGCTTCATTGGAAAGATGGTCGTCATTTTCTCAACTTCATTTTGGTGAATCTTTGTAATGATATGATTAGTTGTAACTACCACAACTGCGATAATCAAAATTACGACTAAAATTGATATGACAATCACAAACAAGAGCACCCACCATACCGCCTTTAAATCACATGCAGTGCCTTCTTCATTTGGTGCTTTCCAAAACGAGCATTTTGTGCATTTGGAATCTTCAATTTTGTTACAATCAAGTATCGAAGAAATTTCAGTGCAAATTGAATTTATCAAAACCCGACTTGGATCACATGATAAACACATTTGCTTCGAAGAACACGTTTTGCAATTTGTGTCACACACATCACATTCGTTTTGATTGATTTGGAAGTAACTGTCTTCACATTTTGAACACCCATTTCGAGTGACTTCAACTTGACAACCAACTATCAAATTTTGTGCCTTACAATCATTATTAATCGTCATGTAATTTGTAGTGTTACAAGTGAGACACTTTTGAGTGTTGTAGCAACTCTCACATTTTACATCACATTTATCACAAAAAAGTCTGTTTCTGTAATAGCCATTTACACACTTCACACACCCTCCGGATGGCACAAATTGCATACAAATGTCTCTTAAATCTTCATTTGTAATGCAACTGTGTTCACTCAAAAATGTACCACTTCGACAACTCATACAGAACGTCGAATTATAATAACACGTCTCACAATTTGAGTCGCATTTTTCACATCTTTGTGTCATTAAATTATAATAAAACCCAAATGCGCATCTAGCACAGCCACTTGTGTACGTTTTAATACACTTTTCATCATCATTCAAAATACATGTTTCACCATTTAAAAGCATTTCATTTGGACATTCAACACATTTGGAGTTTAAAACACTTTGACAATTTAATAACTCAATTGTACATTTGCCGTTTAAATCATTTGGATGTTCGCAATTGGTCAACTCGCATGTTTTGTTGGTGTTCATTTCACTTAACGAGTCACATTTTGTCGACTTTTGGTATTCATAAATTAAAGTGTTTGGGTACACATTTCCACATTTGATGCATGTTGTTGTATTTGTGAGATATCCACTATTGCATGAAATAACACTCTTTTGATTGATCACTTCCGCTTGTTCTATTTCAACACAATTTCCGTCTTTATTTAATGTGTTTTTAGTTGTATTGCAGATCGCACATAACCCATCTCTTCTCAACAAAATACAGTCATTGTTTATTTCACATATTCCATCTTGCAACACAAACTTATCTTTACATTTTATGCAACTCCTTGATACAACAAGTTGACAATTAGTATTACTGACACATTTACCATTCACTGGATAATAACCCTTTTTACATTTAAAACAACTGTTTGCATTGAAAGAACATTTTTCGCAATTTAAGTCGACGCAATCAACACAACTTTTAGTTGTGACATCATAAAAGTTGTCTTCACATGTGTTGACACATTGGGTACATTCAACTGTCGATGTTTTTAGATGACATATTTGGCATTGTTTGTTATTGATCTGCATCAAAGAATGTGAAATCAACAACACCCGTTTTGTGACATTTTCAATTTCTATTGGAATTAAATTGTTGTTTTTGATGTACAACACAAAATTGTCTGTTTTTACAACACAAATCTTTTTTTGTTGTTCACCAATGTATATATTTTCGTTGTTAATTTCTCCCATGTTGCCTTCTTCACTCTTATAATTTAAATGTATTCTGTTCATTTTTATTGAATTTGACTCTTTGATGTTTTCAATATCAACTCGCATTGCAGTCACTTCTTTCAATGGGGTGATATAACACGTATATTTGTCATCGTCATCACACGGGCAATAACTTTCCAAATACCTATACGTGTTATTCGACGTGTCTACTAAATGGCAGTATATTCTTGTAGAGTGTCCATATCGTATCAATTTGTTGTCTTTCAGTGGTGTCGACGACTCGTGTGCTGTAAAAATGATTGGACTCTCGTTTTTTGAGAAAGCGATATCAAAATCATATTCAGAAACAATTGTATTTACGTTTGAAAAAAATAAAACGGTAGTTTGAATAAGTGGAATGTCTCGTATAGTTCTTTCGTGCACATTAAATGTCCCTCCATTAAACAAACAACTTTCAGCTTCTGCCCAGGCATTTCCGGTAATGTAAATATTATAATTTTGAGTATCAAGAGATGTCATCAATTCAACTTCTTTTTCGTCCATATTTCCTTCCAAATAAATTGAAGCGCCAGTGGTCATATTCATATTTTGTGTTTTAAAAAGTGAGTTGGAATAGACACGAATTTGAGTGCTTCCAGTAAGAAACACAATATTTGTAGCAATCAATTTTGAGCTGCCATATAAATACACTTTGGCATTACCACTCACTGTAAAATTCACTGCATTTACAACTGAGGAATTCCAGACATTCAAAGTCGAACTGCCATCAACTAAAAATCGATTTGTGGCACCAATATAACTAGTGTTGTACAGTCTTATTGTTGCTTGAGATAACACACCAACATCTTTAACAACAACTACGGACTCGTCATACATCTCTAATACTGGATTAGCTGTGAGTGTCATAAACACGTTTATGTTAACACTACACCTTTCTCTCAAGAATATTTTGGTGTTGCTATTCATTGTCAAATTGTTTATTTCAAATGTCGTGTTTTTGTTGGCTGTAATTTGAGCATCATCTGACAAGACAAATCTGTCAACAACAAATAACGCGTTCCCAGTCGCTTGTAGTGATCTCAAAGCACTGAAACCCGCATAATTCATAACAATAACACTAAAATCACTCACATTGAGACTTGAACTGTCCACAAATAGTATTGTATTCATTGTTTCAAATGTCGCACTTCCTGTTATTTTGATAGAAGAAGAAGAATATAAAGTCACTGATATCAATGTTAAATCAGATTGGTCATTTAGTATTAATTTGCTAGTGTCTCGCAATTCAACTGAATTGTTAATTTGAGCAACACCATGTCTATTAAGAGTAAATGATGAGTTAATATACAATTTCAGTGAACAATATGAATAATAATAAGAATAATCATTGAGTATAATCATTGCGTTGGTTGTCAATGAAATTTCAGGTACTACCAAGTTGTTAGTAGACACATTCATAACTACTCTTGAAAACCCAGAAGTCACAAAAATCACATCTTCATACATTTGAAAAGTATTAAAAGATTTGAAAGTTGCATTGTCGTGCATTTTAAATGTCGCTTTAGAACTCATTGAAGTACCAGAATTTGTTTTAAGTGTTGATTCGTTCTGTAATATCAACACTGAACTTCCACCCAAAGTAATCAGTCCGCTGCTCATAACACATTCGTCATTTTGAATTGTTTTTATTTCGTTGTTTAACAATTTAATTTCTTCGATTATTTGTTCAGAGCCTTTTTGTTTGATTTTTAATGTTGCCGAACATTGTAATAATAAACACATGAACACAAAAATTAATAAAAAGGGAATACAACGCATTGGGTCCAACTTCAAGTTGTTATAATATGTGTTTTAAAAAAATAACAATAAAATAAAAATTTATAAATATAGCATCCAAAACCTGTATAATTATTTTTTACAAGTTTACTTAATATAGTAAATTGTCATAAAATAATTCTCAATTATTTTATTATATAAAATATGTATACAACAGTAAAACCTCCCAAAAGCGGGAGGGTATGGGCTTTAATTTTGTTCTCTCAAGAGTGGGCATTTTTAGCCAATCAAACCTTAATTACCACTTTTTAGAGAACTCTATTTTAATTAACTAAAAAGCCAGAGTTAATAGCTTTAATTAAAAACCATTAACTATTAATAAAATTGTCATATAATAAAACGAATGATAACAAATTCTGAGCATTGACATTTTTTCATATCACTTGTTATTGCCTCGTGTTTGACCCACTTGATGAGTTAAACTGTTTGTTTATTTAAATAACTTTTTATTTATTCGAAATAATTCAAGCCAAATTTACTTTACTTGACCAAGACTCTATCTAAACAGACCCCGAAAAACCCCGGTCTCTACTTGTAGAACCAACCAGCAATAAAAAACGACCGGAAAACTATAAAAATGGTTTCAGAAAACCATTTATTGTTTTTCCATAAAAATTTTGAAAAAAAGACAAAAAACCAAAAAACTATAATATTTTATAAATTTATAATTTGCCTTTCGGTTTTTTTCGCTAGAATGTTTTTTTTAGTATCTGTCTTTCATTATTTCATATATTTTTATTAAAATACTGCAATGTAAATCACTATAATATAATTGATATATAATAATAAAATATTATTTTTTTACAACAGTAATTATTGAAAATCAATGAATTACAGTAAAACCTTGATTATTTCCAATTTTTTTATTTTAAAAACCTTGACACTTTCCAAATTGAAGATTTTGAATTTTTTAGTAAATTGTTATATCAGCTAATAATTTAAATTAACTAACTTCAGATTACTTCGCATTTTTCTAAAAAACTTCAAACAATTAATCTTTGAAATTGTCGAGGTTTGGAAAATGTCAAGGTTTGGAAATAATCGAGGTCTTAATGTATCATTACTTCACCAGTAGTCATCCTTCAAAATACTTTTTTGATCTGTTCAATGTATTGCTCAAAGTTTTGGTGGACAAATGCTTTGAACATTTTAACATGTGTCTTCAATAAATTTAATAACTCCAACGACCTTAATTGTTTTTCGTATTGCGTACCACTCAATTTAACCACAGACATTATCTATTAAGTCTTCGAATTTCCGATTTTTAAGAATGAAATACATTTTTGTAACTTGGGTAATTTATTTTTGTTTGGTAGAACAAATATAATAAATCGTGAATTGATGATTGCATATCTAAAATAAAGATTTATTATTGTTGTAAAAAGAACCCATCTCACATTTTTAACACGTTTCATAGTTTTTATTCTTATATTTTTGGTGCAACAAACTCTTGACAATCAGTCGAATTTGTAAACACTTTGCATCTTTTGCACATTTTCTCAGCTTTTTAAATTTCTTTACAGTTGACTTTCACACACTTTTTGGTGGCTTCTATAACCAAAGCATCGTGTTTTGCAAACAGTTCACTTGGTTTTTTAAGTTAAACATTTTGTTATTTTCAATACAAGAGGTACAAACCTTGTATTGAAAAACAAGGTGTTTTTGCAAAACACCTTTTTGGACATACTTTTTTGTAATTTTTGTATGGTTGGAAATTATCAGTTGTTTACATGATACATTCATTGTTAATGATTTAAAGTTTCCACAGACATCAATTGTATTTCATGCAAAATTGTATTGAATCTGTAAATACAAGACTAACATTTTGATTCCGTTTCTCACATCAAACAATTTTGCACTTATTACATTGTTGTTTACTCTTTGTAGTAACCAAAAGGACATTCAGTGGCTGCTACACATTTCCAATATTTTCAAACGTATGTTTTTTGTGCAAAAAATGCATTTATTATCATCGGTGTAATTATGGCATTCTGCTAAGTAAACGAAGGAGATACAATTAATGTTTTAAAATATAAATTATTAAAGAGTAGTGGAATAATAAAAGCAGAAATTATTACTAAAGATGGTTTTACTAAAGAAGCAGATAATTATTCTATATCTTATTGGTTTAAAATAATAGTAGAAGAGAAGTACAAAAATAAAATTACATTTAATGTTATAGCTGGTACATTTAAAACAACATTCATCAAACAATAAGCAAGATTATATAAATAATAGACTTGTTAAATTCTTTAGATCCACAATACTCTTGTTAATAACATTTCTATAAATTCTTTATTAAGATAATTGTAATAAATGGTTTTATATTTTTGTAGAAATAATGTTATAAAAGTATAAAAATATTTTCCTTCTTTTGTAGAAAAATTAAATGTTTAATTTCTTAATGTTTTGATAGTAATCTTATCTTCTATGTTTTCGATTTCTAAACTATTATAAAAAACTTTTACAGAGCTTTACTCCTTAGGCACTTCGTGCTGTACCATTTTAAGGAAATAAAAATTTAAATAAAAAATCCCAAACAATCTAGGATAATCTGATATATAGATTAACATACAAACGACATTTAATTATACATGTGTTACTTATTAGTTATATATATGTTACACAATTTTTAAAATATAGGTTTAAATAATTATGTATATTAAAAATACTTTTTTATATTATTATAAATAGAATTAATAAATATTTCGAAAAATCTAAACATAAAGTATCCAAACCGATTGAAACAAATAAGAAAGTAACTTCGACAAATTATATACCATTCTTACAAGGTATTGTAAATAAATATAATCTTTAAGATAACGAAAAATTAAAACAATGTAATAAAAAATAAACAGATACATTTTTAATAATCCAGATGTAAACAATATAGATATTAAAGATTTAAATGATTCTATATTTATTAGAAATTACGTGTTTTGTAAAGATAAAGGTAAACAACAATAAGTTTAAAAAGAACAAAAATATCCAATAAACAATATAATAAAGTTATCAAAAACATAAAGAAAAAATACTAAACTACTAAATTTGTTTCTAATGAACAAATTTCTGTAAACAAAATAGAAAATCTGTAAGATTCGAAACTAAACTAAAAAAAATTAATAATATAAACCCTTGTTTTAATTGAAAGCTATATCTGAAAAACATTTCACTGATTATATCTTTTTTGTGTTTTACAAGTCACAATAACATCGTTTATGGCCTAATAACAATTCGCAGTAATATTTTACGGTTTATTGAAGACTATCAGACAAACACCACTTCAAAGTGCAAGAAATCCTTTACACCAAATAACGTAGTATCAGATATGGAATAGTCTGGGGAATTTCAGACAACGGTGTGTTGAATTCAGCTCAAGACGAATTTAATAATCACATCCAACTCTCTTCAATCACAAAGGACGTAACTATTTACTATTTAAAAGGAGAAGCTTATGCTTCAATCAAAAAACCACTTGCACAAATCAACGGACTTTTCTTGTCTTCTTTTGAACCGGCGAAGGGTAAAGTTGACACTCTCATTGTTGCTGCACAAAGAGACTTGGCATCTAAGGTAAAATCCGGTACAATCCAGAGAGGAACCATCTTTGTGTTAACTGATGAAGGGATTAACACCGCTTTCAACGCAAAAACTAGTTTCGATGATGCAGGATTAACAGTTCATGTTGTATCACTTAACAGACAAGGTCCTGCGATGACAGCTAAATTGACAACACTTTTGTCGCTTGGAAATCATTTCCATGAAACTACAGAACCTTCAAAAATACCACAGATGATCAATGAAGCGTTTGACGGTATTCGAGCTAATTTGACCCAAAGATGTGATAAAAACAAGTGTAATGGTTTTTGTGATGCAAAGAATAGATGCACGTGTCCAATGTGTTGTGAAAACACCTGTTTCTATACATACTGTGATACAAAAACAGCTACATGCATGCCTTGGCCACCAGCTAAACCAAAATCCAAGACTTCGTGTCCCGCTGATTGTGTGGGAGACCGTGTATGCAAGGACCTTGAAGGATGTGTTTACTCAAGGTATAACGATTCATGTCGACCACCAGTTTCGTGTATGACTGCAACATCCCCAGACGACAAAGTCACTTCAAAATGTGCATTAAAAGATAACTGCCAACTTGATGACCAACCAGCAGCAGACGGGTATTGTTACACTTACAAGTGTGATACCAAATCTGGTTACTGTGTTAAGGATCAAAAAGGAAAAGAAAAATGCCCAATAAAGACGTCAAAATGCCAGCAGTACAAGTGCAGTGCCGACTTATCTTGCACACTCGAAAAGAAGGTCTGTGTGAAAACAATACCGTATGTCGAAATGGATTGCTATGAGGCAAGGTGCAACGAAAAAACGGGTCAATGTGAGAATAGATTAACTTGCGACAAATATTCCCAATGCGGTGGGACTGTCACCGAGTCAAAGTGCAGATGCAACGCAGATACAAAGAATTTATGTGAATGTGACCCGAACCCCAATGGAAATTACTGCCAAGATGGAACACAAATCTGCGACTACACAACCGACAATCCTCACTGTATTACGTCAACATGTAAGGAGGATTTGATAAACAAAGATTGCATGAAAGCAACATGCAATGAGAAAACTGGAAATGTTGAGTATGTACCAATTGAGTGTAAACAAGAAGTTACTTATGCAAATGACGAT